AGAAAACTTGGAGGATCCTGGATATAAGGATGCCTTTTTATTTTCTTATTGAGGTATAATTTATATATAATATTATGTTAGTTTCAAGTGTGCAACATTATGATATTTGTATATTTTGCAAAATTATAGTAATGTCCTTTCAGATACAACATCAAAGACACAATCAATGAAAGAAATAATTGATGAGCTGGACTTTACTAAAGTTAAAAACTCTGCTCTGCAAGAGACTATATCAACAGAATGAGATTAGCCACAGACTGAGAAAAAATATTTGCAAAAGAGACATCTGATGTTGAACTCTCTAATAAAAAGAGTTAAGTGGCTAAATGACTGAAAGAAAACCTGCCTAAGTGACATATCAGATAAAGGGTTAGTATCCAAAATCTATAAAGAACTTATCTAACTCAACACCCAAAGAATAAATAATCCAGTGAAGAAATGGGCAAAAGACATGAATAGACAATTCTCTAAAGATGACATCCAGATGGCTAACAGACCATGAAAAGATGCTCAACACCACTCATCACCAGGGAAATACAAATCAAAACTAGAGTGAGATAACACCTGACACCTGTCAGAATGGCTAAAATGAACAACTCAGGCAACAACAGATGTTGGCAAGGATGCGGAGAAATAGGAACCCTTCTGCACTGCTGGTGGGAATGCAAACCGGTGCAGTCACTCTGGAAAACAGTATGGAGGTTTCTCAAAAAATTAAAATAGAACTACCCTACAACCCAGCAATTGCACTACTAGGTATTTATCCAAAGTATACAAAAATGTGGATTCAAAGGGGCACATGCACCCCAATGTTTACAGCATGGCTACTGACAATAGCCAAAGTATGGAAAGAACCCAAGTGTCTATCGACTGATGAATGGATAAAGATGTGGTATATATACACAATGGAATATTACTCAGCAATCAAAAATAATGAAATCTTGCCACTTGCAACAACATGAATGGAACTAAAGTGTATTATGCTAAGTGAAATAGAGAAAGACAAATACATGATTTCACTCAAATGTGGAATTTAAGAAACAAAACAGATGAACAAAGGAAAAGGAAAGAAAAAATAAGATAAAAACAGAAGGGGAGACAAACCATAAGAGCCTCTCAATTACAGAGAACAAACTGAGGGTTGCTGGCGGGGTGTTGGGTGGAGGGATGGACTAAACGGGTGATGGACATTAACGAGGGCACTTGTTGGGATGAGTACTGGGTGTTACATGTAAGTGATGAACCACTAAATTCTATTCCAGAAATCATTCTTACATATATGTTAACTAACTTGGATTTAAATTTAAAAAAAGAAAACCTGTCTACATGAGACTAACTTCACCTAAGAACATACATAGTCTCAAAAGTATAGAAAAAGGTACTCCATGCAAATGGAAACCAAAAAAGAGCAGTGGTAGCTATATTTATATAAGATGAAATAAACTTCAAGTCCAAATGTATAACAAGAGACAAAAAAAGGTCATTATGTAATAATAAAGGCATCTATTTATCAAGAGGCTATAACAATGGATAGATCACTCAGACAAAATCAATTAGGAAACAATGAACATCAACCAAACTTTAGACCAAATAGACCTAACAGACATATACAGAACATTCATCAGAGGAACAGAACACAAATTCTCAAGTGCACATGGAACATTCTTCAGGATAGATCATATATCAGGTCATAGAACAAATCTAAACAAATTTTAAAATATTGAAGTCATACCAAGTGTCTCTTCTAACAACAATGATCTGGACCAGATCAATAATAGGAAGAAAACCGAAGAAATTACAAATACATGTAATTTAAACAACATAATCCTGATCAACCAATGGACCAAAGTAGAAATCAATGGAAAAATCAAAAACTATTTTTTAACAAATGAAAATGGAAATACAACATAGAAAAACCTATGGGGTGCTACAAAAGTAGCCCTCAGGGAAAATCTACAATGACAAATGCCTGCATTAAGAAAAAAGAAAGATCTCAAAACACCTCACTTTACACCCCAGAGAACCAGAAAAAGAACAAGCTAAACCCAATTTAGCATAAGGAAAGAAATTATTAAGATCAAAACAGAAATAATAGGATAGAGACCAGGAAAATAATAGAAAAAATCAACAAAAATACAGAAATCCTCTTTTCTTCACAGTTTAGCTTTATGCAGTTTCACTTGTCTGTGGTCAACCATGGTCTGGAAACAGATGATCCTCCTTTGATGACTCATGAGAATGTTAACAGCAGCTTATGTCACAATGCCTATGCATATCATTTGTCCCACTCTATCTCATCACGTAGGCATTTTATCATCTCATCATCACAAGAAGAGAGGATAAGGTACAACAAAGTATTTTGAAAGAAAGAGAATACATTCACACAACTTTCATTACAATATATTTTTATAACTGCTCTATGAATATTTTACTGTTGTTAATATCTTACTGTTCCGAATTTGTAAATTAAACTTTATCATAGGTATGTATTCACAGAAAAACACATAATACATAAAGGGTTTGGCAGTATCTACAATTTCAGGCATCCACTGGGGCTCTTGGACAAATCTCCCACAGATGGGGGGGGGCCTACTGTCAGATTTTTTTCCAGGTTTATTGAGAAATAAGTGACATACATCACTGTATATGTTAATGTGTACAACATGATTGTTTGATTTGCATATATTGTAAAATGATTACAATAGATTTAGTTAATATCCATCATCTCACATAGACACAATAAAAAGAAAAACAATTCTGTTTGTGATGAGAACTCTGGATTTACTCTCAACTTTCCTACATATCACATAGCAGTGTTAAAAGTCATAATGCTGTACATTACATTCCTACTAATTTATAACTAAAAGTTTGCACATTTTAACCACTTTCCTCCAATTCCCCTTCTCCTATCTCTGGTAACCACAAATCTTATACCTTTTTCTGTGATTTGGGTGTTTGGGGGTTTTGTTTTATGTTTCACATATAAATGAGATC